GGGGGCTCTACAAGAGGAGCAGACTCGTACTTAGGAGCCAGTGTGTGGCTGAAGTAATCCTTCGTCGTGTCGGGTCTTTGATGTTGTATCTTTGTGGCTGTGTGTGTGCGTGGAGACAGGAGGGAGGGAGCGGTGTGTGGGTGTGAATGAAGCTAGAGAGAGCATTCTGTATGGATATGTGCTCTCTCTCTCTCCACAGCAGCAACAAAAGACAGGGAATGAGACACCCCCCCTGCCCTCCCTCCCTCGGCGGCTCTCAAGAGAAAGAACGCCAAAAAAAGGAAAAGAAGATGATGAAACCTGAAGTGGTCCTGCAGTGTGAACTGTGTGTGTGTGCATACACAGATGCTCATATGAGCATCTAAGCGCCTCTGCATGCATGCCAGTGTGAATAGCTTTTTCAATTTAATCTGTTTACTAACAATCTGATTATGTCCAGTTTGTGCTATTTATATATGTGTGTGTGTTTCTTAGTCCTGTCGGTGGGTGGGTGTCTGCATGCAACTGTCCCTGTGTGTTTCATTGTGGTCATGTTGTGTGTTTTCTCCCCAGCAGGGGCTGTTATTGTCTTAGAAATGTGTGTGTGTGTGTGTGTGTGTGTGTGGGTGTGTGTGTGTGTGGGTGTGTGTGTGTGTGTGTGTGCGCACAGTCACTCTCCAGTAGCCTGTTGCTTTCTGCTTCTGACTGCTCTCTGCTCTACATCAGGAGGAACACAGACTGAAATGGATTCCTACAGGATTCCTCTTCTCTGGCTTCATTATTCCCACTGCTGCCACTGAACAACCACACACACAAATACACACATTTCTGCTGGTTTGCTGACGCAAAGCGGAAGATCCTACAACCCTTAGCTCACCCCAACCTTAATGATGAACACATGATGAGCAGTTTATTTCTTTTCTCCCAAAACTTAAGAAACTTTCTACTTTAAATTACTGAACTCCAACTCCTCTCATTTACTTTCACTCTCTTACAAGTGCGCACAATCTGCTGTTGGTAATCACTGGATTTTATTTCCTTGCTCATCCTTTGTGTGTGTGTGTGTGTGTGTGTGTGGAATGGCAGTAAAGTTTGAGAATGTCCAGTCAGCAGCCACTGAAAAGCAATAGCATATGTTACACAAGGAACTGTAAGCACTTTTCATCCCTTCACCCTGGCTC